TTCTATATACCTGCTTTCAGTTTGTCAAAAAAAAACTGCAGGGATATTTATTTACACCTCCAAAGTTCAGTCTTAAAAGTTGGTTGCATTTTCTGCTTCTCTTAATCTAAGTAATCCGAACACATCCAGTGATGCTAAGGTCTGGACACCAGATTCACCAGATTCATTTAATTTGCAAATTTCCTTCTTTTTTGTCTAGTTCCTTTTCTCACTGAGGGCTTCTTGACAGCTACACATCCTTGTAGACTCATAGTGTTGAGACGTCTTCTCACAGAGTGTTTTTTTCAGGTCTGGCGTAAGAGCAGAGCTTGATTTTCTCCTCTCTCTCAAAGATGAAAGCTGTAAGTGCTGTTTATCTGATGGTGACAGTTTTGGTGGTCTACCAGGTCTTACGTGGTTGTTGGAGTCCCATTTTCTCTTAATCTTTTAATAATGTTTTGAACTCTAGTTTTGGAAACACCTGTTTTTCCACTCATTTTTCTTTGTCTTTCTCTTTCCTTATGAACGTGGATTATCTTATAGGTAACGTCCTCAGAAATGTCTCCTGAAAATGAGTACCTTATACTTAAGAGCACTTTTTACTGGAAATGAAACAAACGAAGGATGGTCTCGGACTTCTGCACAGTACTGTATATATTTGTCACTATCCAAAAAATAAATAAACACAGGAAAAGGCCAAAACATACTTTTAGTGTAAGTCAATGTCATAATATTCAATTTCCTCTAGTTCTGTTGTGTTTACCTTAGCATTCATTAAAAAAGTAATTGACAATTAATTCATTTCAATTTGCATACAAAATACTGGGATTAGGACTTCTCAATTAAAGTCTCCAAATGTTCAGAAATAACACTGAAAGGACCACCATAGACCCACTGCTGACCAAATATTAGAGTAGTGGATCACTATCAGCACAGCAGTGACACTGTGCCAACATGGCAGTGGCATATTAATGCTGTTACACTGGTACTAGTGTATCAGGCGCAGCAGCCTAAGGGGTGCATTACATGATGTAGCACAACGCTTATTATTATTCATGGTCCTGAAGATCAAACAGGCAGTATACTTCATGTATTAACATGTGCAACACTGTAGGCCATAAGCTTGTAAGCTGATACCGTGGGAGGTGGTCGAATGAAAAGAATGCAAGCACTTATGGAGGACTGTGTTGGAAATCTGTGCTGTGCACATTAACAGTGGGCCATTGTGCAGTGAGTCCCAAAACGTAATCAGATGAAGAAGCACATATTACATAACGTCCACTAAGCCAGGCAAATGGTATACATACCTTCAGTCTGTATCCTTTCCATGCAGAGGCACGTTCTCCTTTTATAAAATAGAGAGGCTGAATGTATAGAAATAGAAGCAGGAACTGTGAGGAATACAGTTTTGTTGAAGCACCAAGTGCAATCAAGCAGAATGACCCTGTCAATTTTATGTAGTCAAGAAGAATTTTTTTAAAATTGAATCACTAGGTGCACGCAATGAACGACAGAAAGTAAAAGCTGTGAGTGACATTTTCATTTAAAATGGCAGGTGTGTAACACACACACACACACTGCAGCTGAATAACTGTCTCATTTCCTGCATCTGCAGGGGAATCACACTTGAGTGAAATCCACCCACCACAATGGAATTCAGTAACGATCGCATCACTTAGATGATAAAGTCTTTTTGACAGCATCATTATAACTCACTCTAAACCTACAGTGAAATATGAGACAGGCATAAAGTTTGACTCAAAAATGTCCATGATTTCCACATGAATGAAATATATCATCACCACAGTTATTTCCAAAGTAAGGAAACTGAAGGACAACACTGTATTGATATATTAGCTGTGTCCCAATTCAGGGGCTGCATCCTTTGGAGGATGCAGTCTACGCAGGCTGCGGAGACCTCCGAAGGCTGAACCGAAATGAGACGGTCTGCTCTACCGCGGATTTCCTGTTTGCGTCACAGCACCATTGTTACTATTGCGTCACGAAATGACGCTCCTGTCAAGTTCTTTTAAAGTTCTTTAAAGATAGAGCCAGAAACTTTGATTTTAGTTTGTTATTTTTTCATTTATTAGAGCTGGAGATGCTTCTCTTTGTCTGCTCCTCGTTCCCTAAAAAAAACGAAACGTTAACATAAGTTTTGCTTCAGACCGCATTATCTTTTTTAACATTTGTATTGTTAGCTATTCAACTCAGTTTAAACCCAATACTAAAAAAAAATAAAAAAAATATAAAAATAAAAAAGTGTACTCTTTAGTCACCATTCGCTCCTCTGCTGACGCCACCATGTTCTCAAATCCTTGCTGGCACGCAATGAACCTCAGGATATGTTGGCTGGCGAAAGATTTACCCATTGAATCTTTTGTTGCCATGGAGAAGAACAACACATATGTTGGCCGCATATGAAGGAGGCTTTGAAATGGGACAGCCTATTCACGCTGCTGTGAAGTAAACTGCCTTCAACTGCAGCGTCCAAAGGATGCAACCTCTGAATTTGGACACAGCTATTATATGTGTCCATGAATCCTTTGGTAAATATATTTCAAACTAAAGCTAACTACCTAAGTATACCTCAACCTAAACATAATGAAATGTTATTGGAGTAGCCTGTTAGCCTTTCAACTATTAGTCTTGCAGGGCCAGACATGAAGAGGATACATGTCTGAGGACAACTTATTAAACTTTTGGTCCTTGACTACAACAAAATAGCACTATCCAGGTTGTTCAACAACTTTGTGCACATGTAGGGTATGTTTAGACCGGTTGTGTGGTGTCATAGACAGTATGAAATGATTCTTGATTTGACTGAACAGTATGTTGTTTTTTGCACTTTGAGCTGCTTATCTAAACTGAACTTTCTCATAATTGCTTTCAAAATAATATGATTAGGTGGGGGGTGATGGGGGTTGTCCCCCTTAGAAGTTTGTTGCTTAGGGTCCTCAAATGTTCATAAATGGCTCTGACAGTAAAGTATAGGCCACTTTAAGAAAAGGTTCAAAAGTTGCAAGACATCAGTAGCTTTCAGTACAAACAACATGCGTGTCATCATTTTAATAAAGAGGAATGCACGCATGGACAGAACAATAATCCCCACATACACACATTTCAGAATCTTCATTGACCCCTAACAGCACAGTGAAATACAGAATCAGCACCAATGAAAACAAACCTATTTCTTCATTTGCATTTACACTGAGCAGGACCTGGTGTTTGTTTTAACATGGCAACTCATGGCTGCTGAAGGAGCAAACAAGCAGCGCTGAATGCAAGCTGCAATTACAAAATCTGGGAAATTCCAGCACAGCGCTCAACTGTAATAACACACTCCAGATCATCAAACAAATATGACATATGCACCTTCATGCTTCAGGGAGCCTGTAAGGAGCTCAGTGTAGGAGGGATTGTTGTTGACAGAATGGTTCTAGAGGAAAAGAAAAGAAAGGGAAGACAAGGAGGAGAGTAATGAAGTGCCATCAGGAATACTTTCTAATGCCTCTATTACAGTCACCAGGAATTTACCGGATTGCTGCCATTGATGGTAAAACACGCAGAGGCACAAAATCATGTAAGAAAATACAGCCAATCGGTGCTTTTACAAACTCACAGAAGAGTGTGAAATGAGGATACATTCATTATGTGCAATGACTCATCTCAAGGAAATGACGACCTTTGGAGGTAAGACCTAAAATGTACTGATTACAAAGAACATCCTACTGACAAAATATGAAGTCATCAGAAAGCCAATTTCAACAGACAGAACCGCACCTTAAATAAGTTGCAGTGCTTTTTTACTGACAAGAAAGTGGACAATGTCACGAATGAGAGATGCCAGTAACGGCTTTGCTTTTAGATTTGAGGCCATGGAGCTGTTTACAGTCAGAACCATGAACAATGTACCCACAATCAAAGAGAACTTTAAGCCAAATGTATAAAGATTTTTAACATTTAAAAAAATAAAAAACTGCATTTTCTTGCTTTCATTTCAAAACCTTGTAATTCATGATGAATGGACCAATAGACATGGTCCAAAATGACTTGGAATTTCCCTTTGAGTTAGTGCTGGTTTTCTCTCACTTCAATCTTGAGTTCTATTCAGTTTAAAGAAATGGTGAGGTCTGTGAAATTCTATCTGGAGAGAATTTTTAGAACAGTGGTCTCCAACCCTGGTCTTGGAAAGCTACCTTCAGAGTTTAGTTTGAATATGTGTCCAATAAGCTGCCCCGACCCTTAACTCTAACACATCTCATCTAGCCAATCAGGGATTTGGGAAGAGGTTGATTAGCTGAAGCAGGTGTTGCAAACTGTGGTTTGAGCTAGGCTCTGTAGGAAGTTAACTCTCCAGAATCAGGATAGGAGGCCACTGTCTTAGACTAAACAGCAGCCTTTAGCTCTATGGGTATGATGTGGTGATTTTTCTAATTTTCATCGCTGAGAAGTAACAATGAAGAACTTTATTAGTTATTATAGTCAGTTTGACTCTATCCCTGTTCTTTATTTACAGGAATTCTGATTTTTATTATGCATTTTCAATATGAAACTTACAAAGCTTATTACAATTTTGGTATCTGTTTCCTCTTCAGTCCTGGACTGATGGCTCTGTGTTTGTTTCTATTGGTTTTGTTTTCATATTACCACCTCAAAATCCCAGGCTTATTACATACTTAGGCTTATTACTCAGTAACTACATGGACCTCAATGCAAACTGGCTGAGCTGTTATTAGATAATAATAGAAGTGTTTAATAAAACTTTGGGTCCTGGCCACACTTTTACAATTAACTCAAATTGTCATTTTACCCAGTTTTATGAGATAATATTTTATTTAAAAGAGTGATCAATAAGCCTCTAACTCTGGAAATGGTCAGGAATCTACAAGTGTGTTCTAGAATTCTTACATAGTGCAGCTTTAATTGAGAATGAACTGTTTTGTTTGTTTATATTACATTTTCTGTTCAAAGCACACATACATGAAGTTATTTTTCAGGTTTACTTTTTTCTCTGTTATTGCATGCTGTCAGAGTGTGTGGCTGGGGCGGGCTCTTCCAAAGAAGCTTGTGCCCAGGGGCCTCGTGAGGTCATGAACAGTCCCTGTCTAAAGATTGAAGATTTCAAAGATACAAGATTTTGTTACCAACAACAAGAATATAAACTTCAACTTTTTACAGATTCAGAATCATCTCTCTTTGTCGCCTCTGTTCAGAAGCCAATGTTTCCTCTAGCCAGACAGTAGCCCAGCTTGTTCTGGTTGCCTATGACAGACATGAGCCCCACGTAGGCCTCGATGAGGACTGGCTGGTTCAGAACCAAAACTCCATTAGCCTTTCCTGGAACCGGATTCCGAGCGTGGGCTTTCTGTGCTGCTGCGGTCAGCTGCTCTCTGAAAGTGTGGATCTAAGAGAAAAAAGAGGACACATGGACATTAAGCCTCTGATCTGGCTTCTGATATTTCTAACCTGACTTCATTTCCTGTAATCTAAAGTAATATCAAGGAGATCAATGGAAACATGATATCAAGGAGTGCCATTTCTCAAAAGTACTCAGTCAGACCAGCCCTCGTTTTGTGGGCTGGTGTTCTGGTGCCTGTCAAAACATTCTCATTATATGTATGTTTTCCTCTCGTTTCCCTCTTTCTCTCTCTCCTTCTCTCCCTCTCTCTCTCTCATTCAACCTGCTGCTCACCTCTGTGGGTGTGGTGGAATGTGTGGAATGGGATTGGGGCCAGGAGCTTTGACACCCTGCCTCTTTAAATGAGCAGTTATGTGATCTGCGGGGTCACCTGTACAAACCCCTGCATCCCACCCACTGTCACCATGAGCTGCTAAAGACGTGTGATCTCTTCAGGGCTCGCTGGCTTGTAGGGATGAGCAGCTGTCAGTTAGATTCTGTGCTGAAAGAGATGCCTAAATGCTCTCCAGGTAGGACTATAGTAATGCCAGTGATGTCATTTGCTTTGTTATAAAAAAACTTTAGGTGCCCATCACATCCAGTTTTGTGATAGATGCACTGTCCATCAAACATTTGGGGAACACTTTCTTTTAAAATGTTCAGAGTAGTGTTAGATTTTCACTGACACTTTTCAGTTAAAAATAAGAGCAAATAATTTGAGTGCATGCTGCTTTAATAAAGTCTTACTTGATATGAAGCGCAGATTTTGTCTAATTATTCATTTGATGGTTCTCTTCTTAGGTTAGGTGGTTGGAGGGGCGTGGCGAAACATTATTGGTATAATATTATTGGTTAATATTAGTTTTCCATGCCTGCTGGTGCACAGTAACAATAAACAATCAGGAGACGTTTTAGAAATGGGCGAAAGGCACTGTACTTCAAAAGAGTACAGGGAAAAACAAGAATTTTACATATAGCTTTTAATACTACAAAAGGCCAAGGTGTAATTTTGGCCTTTTTTACTATTTAAGATAAAAAAATGAAAATAATTATGACAAATAATTTTGATAAAATAAACCCCTTATGTTTACTGTTCCCTGAACTTTAGTGCATATTTTAGCTTGACATTGTTATAAGATCAATATTACAAAGCACAAAAAAGTTCTCAGTGTTTCTACCCATTAGCAGCCATTTTACTCGTATACATTAGACTGTGTTTCGATTCTGTCAGCAATTTTTTTTCCTGCTTTTCCAGTAATCAGACGTTATTTTGGCAGCAGTTATTCAGTAAACTGCTTGCCTTACCTACTACTTTAAAATGCCATGGTGGTCAATTTGGTTTATAGGGACATTCCATCAGCGGTGATGCAGTAGCCACGGCTAATCTTATTTACTTCACAGAAAGTCTAAAAAGAACTGGCAAATAGTTTACAAAGTGCTACCAAAAACAGAATAAAACAACAGCAATAAAATAGGACAGATCAGCCTATAAATAAGTTAAAAAGCTTCAATGGGCTGCATAATATATGGAAAATATGTTGCTAAAAAAACACTAGGGCAGTGATTAGGAAAGAGTGTGGTTCTGAAGATGGTTGATTTTATGTTTTATTGCTCTTTTTGTCCACATGTGAAAGAAATTCATTTGGAATTCAATTCTTTTCTTGTAGAAAAAAAATAATGTTAATGTTGTCTGTATCGTCACCTTCTGCAGAATGGTTATGGAATAATTAATAAGTTATAATTAAAACTCACAAAAAATAATCCTTCTGAGATTTGTTAAATTTGTTTTTAATTATTTTCTTTTGTAGTATAAATAAGCATATAAAACTGGCGGTTCTATTAGTTGTGGAATCTCAGCCTTTTGAAGGTTAATTGAGATATGATATGATGAATTGAAAGTTGAAGATTAAGTGTTTACTTGCTGATGATGGGATAAAAGGCAACTTACAGTTTGGCAGATTTTGCAGATCTAATAAATAACTCACTGTAAACGTATGACAGATCTGTCAAAAATGCCTGTAATCTTTTCAGAGAAATTTCCATAAAAAAGGTAAAGATTCCTTAAAGATGAGATGCAGGCTAGAGTGAAAAGTGAGTCCACCCACACAAATGTTCTCACACTGCTGTATACGTTGAGCAAGGCTGACTCATTCTGTTTCTCAAAAGTAGCAGATGCTTTAACACTATCCCAGGAAGGGCATTGCATCAAATGACCTGAGGCCTGTCCTCTATGGTGAGATATTCTATGTGATGTTAGTTATGCAGTGGTTAATGTCTCTGCACCTCACACATTCTGGCCAGCTTGTCGTTGACGTTTCGCACAGGGTGGTAGGTCAGTGTAGCGTAGGGATAGTCAACAGCCAAAGGGTTCCAACGAGACATGAAAGAGGGCTCCCTGAGCCTGTCCCAGAACACTCGCACCCCCTCTCCCTCACGCCTGAAAAACAGAGACATACACATGTACATAAATACAACCACAAAAGAAGCCTACCATACACAAAATATAAGAAAAATATAACATTTACAGTACTGTGCAAAAGTCAGAGACCACCCTTCATTTCTTTAATTACAAGTCAAAACTGCTTAAGAACAAGGGAAACTTTTCTGAGGAGATTACATATCCCAGACTACAACATCACTGAGTGTGTTTGGGCTCATAAGAAGCAGAAAATGCAACTGCCTTCTAAGCCTGAACTTTGGAGGTGTGGAAAAATATCCCTGTATTTCTTTGAAAAACTGAAAACAAGTGTTCCAAAAAGAATGAAAGCTGTAAAAAAGGCAACTAAACACTGAAAAATGTTGTATTTTGAGCCTCATGCATACTTTTCTGTTAAATATACCGTACTGGGCAAAAGTCTTAGGCACCTAAGCACATTATTCAAAGCTGTTTCTTGAAGAAAGGCCATATATAATTATACAACTAAACTCATTTGAAAAACAAATTTTGATTCCCGATGTCTCTTCCATGCCTTCAGTTACTGCTTAGATGTGTTAAATTCCATAAGCAATAATGGAATAAATTCATCATCAAATTCCATCACTTGATTTATTGTAATAAAGCATTGATTAGCCAAATCATTAGATGTTAACTACAAATAATACTGGGCTGCCACAAGGAGAGGTTTTAAAATGATTAAACAAGCACACTGACACAATACATAAAAGCACTACTATTAATCTATTGAATTTATATTGCTTCTATGTATTCTAATATTACATAAATGAAGCGTCTCTAACATTTGCACAGTAATTTATAATGTTATTCTAAAAATGAGAAGAAAAGTATGCTATCTTTTTTTATCTATGTAGCTGCCAACTAGATCTCTGACATTGCTGTGTAGTATTAATTGCCTAAAGCTTCTATAACAGCATAAGTCTACTTAAACAGCAATTGAACTGCAAGAGAAAAATATAGGCTTAGTTCTGTTTTTTTGCATGATCTCATATCAACAATAAATATTAAACATTGTGAAAAGCAAAAGGCCAAAGAGAATGGATGACGTTGTTTAGTAAGTCAGATATTTAATGTGAAGCATTTTAAATCAAACTGTTCTTACGTAAACATGGTTGAGGTTAAACTATTGTGGGCTTTGAATTTGCCAGGCACGCATAAAAATGCAAAACATCCAAGTGCACATAATGAGGAGCGAGCGCGCGACACGTCCGCCAGCGTTTGCCATCAGCCCGCATTATCTGCTCACTGATTTACACGCGCTGTCCGCAAATAGGTCAGCTTGACCTCTCGAACCCCGTCGTTCCCTCCAACAAAGCTCCCTCACTGCCAAAACGGGCACCGTTCCTCTCTAGTGTGCCTCCTTTATGCACAGGCCAATCTGATGTTTACTAAGCTTAAAGGCAATTCCCCATGTTCATCAGATTTGCTTTCACTCCCTGTGCTTTTCTCTTTGCCATTTTAAGTAAATAGATTTTAATGAAACGCCTGGAGGCCACGTCTTTATTTTCCAGGCTGATGAAACCCCAGAAGACAAGTGAATGCCTGGCAGCAAACACTCAGCTTTAAAACCTCTTCACATTCAGGCTTTGAAATCACGCTGGCACCCTTCCATTTTCACAGGGATCTTTCACAATGCACTATTTACATTTTGTCCATCAATCATAGCCGAGGAAGGCCCTGATTTCTGTAACCGTCTATAAGATGCACAGCAAGTCAGCAGAACTTGCCCATTGTGCTTATGTACTACAGCTTATACTGTAGACGGACAGCATCTCTCAAAAGCTCAGTATTGTCTTTCCATGCCAAACAAATGAAACACAAGAATGACTGTTGGGAAACCTTTAAAATAATATTGCTCACTCATTCCGGTTCATATGACATGGTTTTGTCATCTTCCCCACAGTAAAAACTCAATTGCCAGCTTTAAACTTCAGGGGAGGAAAATACTTGAGAACTTTGTCGCTATACTTTGCTACTTTACTCAGGGCCGTAACTAGGATCAAAACTTTAGTAAGGTCCATTCTGCGGAAAAGTGTCATACAGCACATAATCTATGTGAACACAGTGAATAAGCTTACTGCTGACATGAGCATTACACCAACTGCCAATTTTTAATCTGCCAGTTATAAACAATTCATTGCCCCCTTTTAATCCATAATGTTTATGTGCGTTTTCCTTACATGTGTTCCAAAAACTTTTTGTCTATTACTGTACCATAACTGATTTGAATGCAGTTACACAGTTTGATTTTATTTATTTTTATTTTTATTTATTAATTTTTATTTATTTTCTCACTACATTCATCTATTCGGTGACACTTTATTTTGAGTAGCCCTTTTGGATGAACACTCAAAGGATTCTCATTAACATGTCAAAAACATATGAGGGTTAGGATTAGGTGTTGTGTTGAGGTTAAGGTTAGGGTTAGGATTAGGGCCAGGGTAGGGTTAGATTTTGGGTAAGATTAGGTTCTGCGTAATGGAAGTAACATATTAACAATACATCTACTAAATGTAAGTAATGTATCAACAGAACATCTTCAAGATATTTACTTCAGTGTATTCAGATGCTTCACTACTGCTACTCCACTGATATGTTGTTGATGTGTTACTGATAATCTGTTAACAGTTTATTAATTATCCAAGGACCACTCTAAAAAAAGTGTTACCATCTATTTCTAGCAAAGCACTACATGTTGAAACCTATATACAAAACCAAAGGATAGTTTCACATTGTTTTAATGTTATGGCTTTATTTATTTTACACTAGTTTAACATGGTTCACATGTCCCTTTTTACCTCTGTCTCTTGTTGTCTCTCATTTCTCAGCCTTCAGTGTTTACTGTAATATAATACAATCTACTAGTTGATTTTACTTCACATGACATTATGCCATTAATAAGGTAGTTAACAGTGAATTTATGCTTGTTGTAATATGTTATGTGTAGGTAACACAAGACTGAGTTACCATTAAGTTCTTGTATCCTAAACATGCTTCTTTAACTGCAACATTATGAGTAGTCTAAATAAAAACTAAATTCTGGGGTTTGCATTTTACAAGCATGATCTATAATCTGCCTTCATAAACTTTCACATTTGTATCATAGCTATATCATATATAAGCCTATAGTGTGTTTGTTGCATACCTGTACATGAAAGTCAAAGTCATTTGGGGCAGTTTAAAGCTAAGCATAATGGGTAACCACAGCTGTTCTAAGGTCAGTTGAGAACTAATCACATTACTGCTGATTGAGTAGCCTTGGGGTGCATTATCAGGAGGCCACTGACTCCACATTGAATCCCATGGTTACAGGAACTAAAACCATTTTTTTTTTAAAGATTTGTTCTGTTCTCAGTCATTATTGACATTGAATACTTGAGTACTTCATTGGTCAGGAGATTTTTATAGATTTGAAACACCTCATTTACATGGCTTGCAACTACCTAACTAACTGGCCCACTTACTCACAGCTCACTCACTCACTTACTCACATTCAGCAGGCTGAAGATTCTCTACAAGGGGGCACCAATAGCACTAAAATAGTTTTGGTCCTCTGCATAAATGACCCTGCGTGTCCTTGTTTATCAGTCTTTTCCACACATTGTATTCCTTTTTAAAAAAAAAACATTCAAGCGAGTAAAATGAAACTGACCAGGACTATGCCAATTTATCTGTGTAAGCACCTGTACTGCTCATTTATTGCAAGAAAGGCCTTTTATGACTTTTAATTCAAGTATATATTTGGCTCCATACTTCAGTTTATTTTGACACAGTACAGGACTTTTGCTTAAGTACAATATCTCTTTTTCCACCCTGTTAAAGTCCAATGTCCTACATTTTTCAAGTATTTATTTTTTTTCTCAGATGTCCACTTCTGACATTTGTGTGGGTTTATATACCTACTCTGCAATTTCGGTACATTTGGTCAAGTGAGACAGCTGTGTTTGAGCCTGGGAGCAGTCCAGAGAACCAATTTCTGGTCATTCTGATATCAGTGATCCGGGGTTTGCTTCCTATGAACTTTGGTGTCCACTGTGCATGTAGAAGCTATCAGTCACAAATGGACTTGATTGGTTAATTTTGTATCATGACTGCTTCGAGAAATTGAAAGACTGTTGTGGACAAAAAGTGCTGTTCTTTGCTGCTTGAGTGCTTTATCCTATGAAAAAAATAAAAATAAAAAACAGCAAACAGATGAAACTACTGCCTACCATTGTCCAAACCTGCATGCAGAAAAGTGACGTATGGAATTGCACAATCGATCCATGGTTCGGGTGAAATTCTTGCATGTGAAAACAAATTAGTGATAATGCGCCCCTCCTCTACACAAGCCCAGGATCAATCCTGGGAGCGGATTCAAGTATTCGGAACAAGGGTGAAAACGCCCTTAGTGTTTGTTACTGTTCCTTCAAAACTTTTAATATGTTAATAAGCTCTGTTGTGATGGGCTGTCCCATATTGTGCCTCATTCAAAAAGCAGTCCAGCCTGGAACACTCTTTATAACTTCACTGTGAATGGACAGGGCTAAACTGCTGAAGGCTCAACAGGTGGACGTATGTAAACATTGCAAAAAAAGTTCAAAATGAGCTGTTTTTACAGCTTTGTTTCCATATATGGACTCTATGAACAGTATGATTTTGAAACTTGAATAAGGAAACTTGAATAAGGTTTACATACGTAATTATTTTATTTAAAAAAAAAAACATGAGTAAAATGAGGTTTTTCATGATATGAGCCCTTTAAAATGTTGAGGTATGTTGTGTGTTTGCTGAGGTGAAGCCTCTTCATTGGTGATGAAAGCTGATGATGTCAGAGCTGGCAGCTTAGCAGTGTGATTTGTTCTTTTTCTGTCAACCCTGTTATTAGGAAGTTTCTCTGAAAAGTGAAATGCTTTCATTTCTCTTTAATTAGTATGAGGTCCTGACTGAATTTCCACAGAAAGAACCCAGACCTGCCTCAGACTGCACATTCAAAGCATTAT